AGTGAGCTAAAGAAGGTGAAAGCCAAACAGGGGTGACTGTTTCCCATGACACAATATGATGTACACTACGGAAGGATGACATGCACGGCTGTCGTCTACGTGGGAAGCCTGTCCTAAAGCCTATGCACAAAGAGCTGGTGTATAATTTGCCTGGGCCTATGCTGAAAAAGATAGAGTACTGGGACTCTATACTCTGGAGTGATGAGACCAGGATTAATGTTTTTGGAACTGATGGCTTCAAAACTGTATGGCGTCGCAAAGGTGAGGAATACAAGGAATATGCATGGTGCCTACAGTGAGACATGGTGGCGGCAGGGTCCTTATGCGGGGCTGCATGAGCAGGGCTGCTGTCAGGGAGCTGCATTTCATTGATGGTATCATGAATTCACAGAGGTACTGCTCTTTATTGAAAGAGAAGATGCTACCATCACTCCATGTCCTTGGTCATCGTGCACTTTTCACAGAGGTACTGCTCTATATTGAAAGAGAAGATGCTACCATCACTCCATGTCCTTGGTCATCGTGCACTTTTCAAACATGACAATGATCCAAAACATGCATTTAAGGCCAACATTGCATTTCTGAAGAAGAACAGGGTGAAAGTGATTCAGTGGCCAAGCATGTTTCCTGATCTGAACCCAACTGGACGTCTATGGAAAATTCTGAAGAGACAAGTTGAGCATCACTCTCCATCCAGCATCCAGGCTCTAAGAGGTCATTCTTGAAGAATGGAAAAAGACAGATGTTGCAATATGTCGCCAACTTGTTCATTCCATGCATAGAAGACTTGGTGTTGTCCTTAAATCATGGAGGTCATACTAAATACTGGATGTAGTAGTTTTTGTTGGGGGGTGTATTAATTTTTGCATCACCTTATTTGAAGATTTTATAATCTGTTATATTATTAACCTTACTTTCATGTTCATGAGTTAAGCAAATGTTCTATAAAACTTGAAATTGTTTTTGTGTTTATTGAGATATTGATCTTACTTTTCAAAGGGGGTGTACTCATTTATGGCAAGCTCTGTATAAAATTGAATTGAATTGAATTTTGTGGGGGGCCCATGATTTTTAGCTCTGCCCCTGCTCTCAGATACGAAGTATATGCCCAGTCAGTTTCTTTGTCTTGCGAGTTATTTTAGGGAGTTACTCTAGGCGAGTGGTGCTCAACCTTCTGTGCACCACAACCCAATTTTTACCATGTCAACTCTGTTGCGACCCTGTCCCAAGTATAGGTTTAAATTAACGCTACGATCAAGCATGCAGTGCACTCTGCAGTTTACGACAATCAATGCCTATCGCACAAATCTGATTGGATGTGCCAGTTAATTTTAAATTAAGCATCTGTGGTTTGGCTTCTTAGATTGGTTGAACGTTCACTAGTTTTGCGCTAAACAGTTGCAGACCGAAGACCCGTTTATATAGGTTAGTTCTAGGATTGGAGCTGGGAAATCTGACCGTGGATCAGCATAGGAGCTTGCTAGTTTTAAACTGCTTACATTTCCAGCTCTGCCTCGCAACCCTTTCAGAAATTACCACGACTCAAATTTAGGTCACAACCCATGGGTTGAGAGCTGTTCTAGGCAGAGCTCTTCTGTGATCAGTAATGGTGAAGTGTTCTCAAAGCTTTAAATGAATTAAGTGATGTTTTTTTATTTTTGTTGTGTGAAATATATATTTCACTTGAGTTCTGTGTAAAAGACTCAAGGCTTTGCCGCCCCCACTGGTACTGTAGGGAAGGGTAGTGAGTTAAAAATGTTTCACTACACCAGCAACCATCTTATTCACCATTTGCGCATTTTTGCTGTTGTGTGTGAAATGCCAGTTTAGCGTTCTGTAATGTTCTCTCACCCTGTGCTTGGACCACGCGGTGACAGCGTTCTGTAAATATTGTCGGACCGTGTTCAGGCAGCACGTTTACACCTCAGCTGACCGTTTAAGGCGACTTTTCACAAGACCAAATGTGTTAGGACACTGAAACACAAACAGTGCAGTGTCCTACGTCTTCTCAGATGTGGTAAGACAGTGGTCAGGATTTGGTGAGGGCATTTTAACATTTTTCCGGTAGGGTGATCACGAGCTTTGACTGCAACTGAGGCTGATGTGCAAAAGCAGCAGTAGTAAACTTTAGACTAGTTTTTTTTAACCTAAACTAGATAATGTTGAAAAGGAACCATCATTACAATTCCAAAGCTTGCTGAAGTTTTCTTCCTCTGGTGGAGTAAAAATGGTTTGAACCCAACAGACTATTGCGATGTGACTATTGCATGTGCATGTCAGCAGTCTGGACTACCGCCATTGGGCAAGCCTGGTTGAGGGCAGCACATTGGCACAATGGATCGTGCTGTCACTGACCATACATCACTACTTTTTCTGTGTGGAGTTTGCAGTTTCTTTCCACTGTCCAAAAACAGGCAACTTAAGTGAATTGGAGTGCCTAAATTGACCGCACATGTGACTGGGTGTGCACCCTGCAATGGTTGGTTGGTTTCTGCCTCGAGCCTATTGCAATGTACATTATATTATATTATATTATTATAATCTTTTAAATGATTAAAAGACTATTGGTACTGTGGACATCAGCAGAGCTCAGGGGTCGTTTCAGTGCACCGTGGTGGGGTCTTTTGAAGGTATTGGGGAGCGAGATGGTGGAAACAAAGGCATTGAAACTTGTATACCTGTAATTAAGTTACATAACCAGGCCAGTCGTGCATTTTATGACGTTCCCTATCATTTTGCTTCCCATTTCGGTCATGATGCCAGTCATGGTGCAGTTTGATGGCGTTTTCAAAAGAAATGCAGAAACTCAATGGTACAAGCTGTGTAGGAATAGTAAGTGCTTTAAGCTTCACGGATGTATTATCAAACTGTCAGTTCACAATGTACAGAAGGACGTGCATAATGACTAAAACAAGGAATCTGCTTGTCCTGAGCGGGTGTTTGGTGTGCATTGCGTCAGGAGGCGATGAGGTGTCTCTGTTTGTTCTTCTGCACACGTTTGCCCTGCAGGATAAGTGGGCGCTGAAATGTCAGAGTCTTGTTTTTATTGGTGCTGGGTTTCTGTAACCGAGACGACACCTGACCCACTGTTTATTGGTAGGACCCAGACCAGAGCTGTGTGGTGAGAGCGGCCGTGCTTTGAGGCAGTGCCAGTTACTTGATCTGCAGTGCATCATGATAAGAGAGTGAAGGATGAAGGTATTGGTTGTACCTTGTCTCTCATGATCAAAGTTTTCAAAAGGTAATATGAAGATCGATAATACAATTGACCATACAACGCCTGCTCTGATAAATACCCAGAAATAGAAGTTATGTTAGGAGGTTTTATTGAAAGTGGCACAGGTTGATTGAAAGTCTAGTTTGAGGGAAAGAAGCTTGTGAACATCAGAAAAGTGTAAGGTGAATTCCTGTGGCAATCTGTATAATTGATCACCTGTTTTTTCGTAATATACATTCAGGGCTTCTTGTTAGCTCTGTCTTTCTGAGCTGTCCATGGTGCCTGTTTTGGCCTGCAGAGGAGAGGCATTTTTGGTCTTGTGTACAGTCTGTTTGTCTGCCACCCATTAATAAGCTCGTAATGCGTGATGACAAACACAAGTCTTGTTTTTCATATGGGCAGAGGGCATGGTGAAAGGTCCAGTGTGCATTTCCACTAAGTCAAGTGAGGCACGATATAGAGGACATAGCAGAGACTCCTGCTGGATGCCAGTAAAATGGCTGTGTGCTCCAGAGCCTGACAGAAGATGAATTTCTGCTGTTATGTAAGCGCCAAGGTTTTTGCAGAGCCACCAAATCCCCAATGGCACCGTCCCCTTCATCCTGAAAGGCAGCGGTGCTGCTGGCATGTGCCCCCGCTCGCTCACCGCGGAATGCGATTCAACTGCCATGTGTCCTCAGGAGCCTCGATTCAAACTGGGAGGCGTCCCTCTTCAATCCATCTTTCCTTGTGTCAAAGTCTTTAGTTTCATTAATATTAGCTTTTAGTTTCTGTTTATTCTGTATGCATGTTTGTGTGTTTGTTCACTTAATCAGTTGTGTGCACACATTTGGTGTTCTGTTTGCCCTTAAACATCAACACTGTTGAGACTCCTTATATCAGCAGTACTGACCCTACGAATCTGCTCAGATCAGCTGTCTCCCTCTTGCATGTTTTTCCCTAAGTGATTCAGCAGCTTCTGCGGGTCAGTCATCTCTTATTAATCTAAGGTTGTGCTCCTGTAATGGAGTCCACGAGGCAGGCCAAGGAGTTCAAGAAGGCCGGAAGTTCGGAGAGCAGATGCAGGCTAGAGTGTCAGCTTCTGAGACCACAGAAACAGATCGGGAAGTAGCAGCTGGATCTGTGTGCAGGGTGGAGACCATTGGTCTGTCTCTTCCTCTGATGAGGCTTTGGGTTTGTGGCAGTATCACAACATGTCCGGTAGGAGCGATGGTGTGTGTGAAGCCATTGAGGAGTGTGCGGACAGCGCGAATCTGCATGAATTACGACTCACACGGTGGAGCACACAGTGTTCAGTGTGCTCCACAAATACTTTTTGCAAGCCTTGCCAGTGGGTCATGAGCTGGGGCCAACCCCCCCCCACCCACCCACTAACCCACCCCAGCTGAAGCACACAGACAATACCCACTATACCTGCTTTGGAGAGAAAGAAAGGCAAATAGCAGCATGTGGACATCTCTCTGGACATGTAAAGGGGTGAGGGGTCTGGGGGGTGCTCCAGCAGGGTGCTGCCCCATGCGACTGCCTGTGCCAAATGGCCTTTGTTGAGTAAGCACCATGTTCATATTTAAACTTTGATCACACACTGGGCCCAGTCTTTTTTTTCACTAAGTCTGTGTCTTCCTCTCTAGCTTTTTTTTTTTCCCAGTTACCCCTCTTTTGACTTTTCTGTGTAAAGTTATACTAAGCAGAAGCAGCAGCCAGAGTATAGGCTTTAATAAATGGATGCAGAGTCCTAAGATATTGCTTAATTTATTTCTGTTTAATGACGTGTTACAGTGACTCTGCTCCACTCTCCCTCCCCCATGTCTGGCCTATAATACGCTGTTAGAGAGTCACGGCCATTTCCTTCATTTTGAAACAAAATGGCCACTCAGAAGAAAAAAATCAGCATCCCGTACCTTAGGTGATTTATGCAGTGGAACAACGTTCCCTGCTTCCTCTTTAGGGTCACAGCCGGTGTGTCCGTATCTGGGGGGGGGGGGAGCTGGGGGCGGTGGGCTTTGTGATCTAGCTGTTGAAGGCAGGGAACCAGGACTGGGGCAACACACGGAATGACATGAGGATAATGAACCGTGGTGTCATGTGGGACTTCCTGTTGGATGGTCGTCTGAATCCAGTCGATGGTCCGTAGCTCGGATGGTACTTTGGCCCCAAGCCATGTAAGAAAAAAGGAGCGCAAAATGTTGCTTAGATTAATAGTTATACAGGAGTGCTTTTCACAAGGTGCAGTATGGAAACTCTCCAGTGAACTTAACATAGGGGAAATGAAGAACACGGCCTAGAACAACTAATGTCTGCTAGCATTAGGGTAACATTAATCACTCATATCATTGACCGCTCTGTAGCTCTCTGGCCTGGATCCATAATCCAATCACCTCTAACTATAGGAGGGATGAAAGCAGTAGGTTTTTAACTCTGGGCTTATGTACAGAGTGTATTTGAAGCCAGCACATGAGAAGGTGGATTATGGAAGGCTTCAGTGCCTTTTTGTGGACACCTACAGCCATCCGTGGCTTCAGGCTTTTCAGGCTTCTGCCCTTTGTCCTTTGATCATTTGAGGCATTATACAGAAAGAACAATCCTTTGCTGGGTACAACACTCTAAAATCCCATTTGTAGCCTTGTACGAATTGGTAGCCTTGTTTTAGATGGTACTGAGGAGACTGCATTGTCTCCATGGTTACCATTTTTGGGGCATTTTTTTGACAAAGCGTGGTGTCATTAAAAGCAAACTGGAGAGCTCACACTTCTGTCAGGCTGCCATTGGTGCTCCTGCACGGGGCGATGGGGGGGCTCGTCACATGGTTTTCCCTGGTGTGGTGATGCGGCTTGTCAGGCTGGTCTGGATACCGATAATGGTGCTGCGTGGCATCCGAGTCACGTGTGCGCGTGTGTGTACGCACACCATAGAGAAACGTGCCTGGTGTGTGCCACTTTTCAGAAAACTGCTCCGGCCCCCACCATCTCTGTCTACAGCAGCAGCTGGCAGGTCTGTACCTGTGGAGGAACGATTTCTGCTCCTTGGCTATATCTGTTGGCTTTGTTGCTCTGATTTTATGATTTTTTTTTTTAACCATTTTCCCCAAATAGGTAGCCAAAAATTTCATTACCATAAGTGTTTTAGGATCAAATAAAACAAGATAAAATGTTTTTGAATCCATGAACTTGATTGCGTGTAACCCATAATCTATTTGTATATTTTTGTCATTTTAGTTTTGTCACTTTTCTTCTCATCTTCGTAATTCTTGGATTTGAAATGCATTTATTTATTACAAAAATAAATGGCAGTATAATAAAACCAGTTTAACTACCTTAGAGGCAATACCAACAGTGCATAATCTTCTAACTAATTTAAAATATTAGAGAAGATTGTAATGTTACGGTAATGAGTTTTTGAGAATGACCCAGATATCTGTGTCTGTGTCTCTCAGTCCTTTCACCTAGATCTGTGTTTTGCTGTTTCATGCTAGATAGACAATATTATGATATGTGGCAATAAATGCATTGGAAGGACCTAGAATCCTACACTGTAGCTTAGGGTGCAGCAATCAATAGTAAATAGGCTGTACTTTTTTTTTAATAGATTGAGAAATGGTGCTTGTTTAGTTACCTCAGTATCAAGTCTGATTTCAAAAAGAATTTTATGGCAAAAAGTCTAAATGTATAAAGGATATATCCACGCGTTTAGAGATGTGCTTTTAATCCAATGTCTGTTGGCTTTGCTCCTTGCCTCTTTAGTTACCATCTTGGCTTCTTGTTTTTATGAGACAGGCAGCTTGTATAAGTCCAGGAGGGAGACAGCCATACAGATAACTATAAGGATATGTTTCACTGGACCCATGTTCAGAAGCGCTCATCTGCTGTATTCATGTGGGTGTGACATAACATTCAGAGCTCTTCCTGGGGGGTTACACATGTTTTGCTGTTAGTGGCCCTGGGGGGGATTGGATTATGCATCCTCACATGTCGAGCACCTGTTTCCCCCCTCAGAAGGCTTTGTGAAATAGGTCAGATGAATTCCCAGGTGGGGAACACGCATGCCCAAATCCCATGGCATGCAGCCTGCTTGCACGCACACGTTCTCATACAGCTGCTCCTCCATGCAGGTACCTGTCAGGTGTAGACTCATTTCACGGCGCTCCATTCTGCCTCATCGGGATTAACTGTCGTGCAGCCAGCTGGAAATTTCCACCCTCTGCACCAGCGAAAGTGAAAGAAAGAGAGTGAGAGAATGAGAGAGAGGGAGGCAGGGGGCGGATGGAGAAAGTGACTGTGAAGAGGAAGGTGGCAGATGTTGAGAGAGAAAATGTGAGAGTAGAATCAAGCGGCGATACGTCATCAGTTACTAATCTAACGGACCTGACTAGAGACCTGTCTGCCGTGTCATGTTTTTCTTCACTGTTCTAAAGGTGACCTTAGGGATTTCACCCTTGGCTTTGCATGTCCATGAAGATGAAAGCAGATGAGAGTATGTCTGTTGAGATTTTTTTGTTCTGAAGGGAAGTGGACGGTTTCCCCTATAGATCTATTTGTGTCTGCAGTGGGCACAGCAGTGACACACACACACACACCACACTCACATAGAGGCCCACACTTTGATATGGATACTAGAGTATCAGACTTCTAAAAAAATCTTAGATTCCATTTCTTGGTTGTGAATTCTGCAGCCTGTTCTGTGGCACCCTCTTCTCCCATCTTCTGTCTCTGTCATTCTCCATTTTCTAATCTCTATGCTCATAAAGCTGATATATCCAAAGAGCTGAAAAGTGGCAGTTCTCTAAAATACGGACCAGTGGTTTGTCTGTTCTGCTTACTGATAAATGGACCTTTTAGCTAAATATTTCTTCCTGCAAGTTGCTCTCAGCACTTCATTTTCCTTTTGGTGAGCTTCTCTATGCCCTCAGTTCTCTGTGCTGAAGTGATGGTTGCATGGCTTCTGCGGTGTGGTGGAAATTAGGGCCTAATCCTGTGGAAAGTGTAGACACTGAGCTGTAAATATCGTTGTGTTTTTAAAGTGCAGACTGATGATAGTGATTTGGGCACCGCTGATGGTTCAGGCAGCTCCGAGGCTGTGAGATATAAGGAATATGAATATGTCTTTGTGAGACAGGTGCAGTTACATTTCCCCTCATCCTTTCTTTACCCAAAGAATGAAACTCTACATGGTGATATGCACGTCTGGCTTTGTTTTGGTCTGAGGTGCTGTCAGAGTTTGTCAGCATGCATCTGCCAGCTTTTTTATTGACCCCCCACATCTAAAAGAAAGCCTATCTGTTGCTTACCTGTCATGCCATCACTCTGGATTGTTGGTGATGGGAAGGTCCTGAACTGGCTATGCTGTTGGGGTGCCGTAAGTTTGATTGAGCAAGGTGGTGCATCAACAGACTCTAGCAAGGGGGTGTGGCTGATATGCCAGACCTCCTTCCACATGCCAGACCTCCATCCACCTGCCAGTGCACGTCGGTCACCACGCACTGCCCAAACTGGACGCTTGGGTTTCATAGACACATCTTCTAACAGCTGTTCTGATTGGCTGAGAAAGTACACGACCATTAAGTCAAGACTCAGTCTGACAGGGAAGGCGTGAGAAACAGGAGATGGCCGCAGGACTGTGGGGATCCCTCCGTCTACTATGTCAGGGCAACGTCTCTGATGGCCTGACCAGGGATATGAATTACGTGGCGAGGACTTAGTCATGATAAGGGAATAGAATCTCACTTTAAGGTCTGCCAGGGCCAACATGATTGTCATCGATGGCGTTTTACGTTTTGCAAACCTTAGGAAGCCACATTACCATCACAGAGACCAACAGTTAACAGCAAAGAGACTGTGAGAGCAGTGGACCCAATGAGTTTGTCCAGGGAAATGTACAAAATCCCGATGAATAATTTGAGCTGTTATCATGGTTTGCTATAAGATTAGTATTTCCTCTGAAAAATTATACGCAAAGTCCTGACCACACTAGTTACCAGACACACTAGTGCTTTATGAGTGTAATGAAAAGAACATTTGACAGCAGGGGTCTCAGACCCCTGGTTCTTTGTTTTTTATTGTATACTGAATGAGGCGTGCAAAGTCCTCATGTCTGCCTAAGAACATGCCCTTCAAGACATCGTAAAAATCTGCTTCCTTTTCTGGCTTAGCTCTACCCTTGGCACTGGCTCTGTGTGCTTTTTTGTCTGCAAGAGCTTCTCTTTGACATAGAGATGGTGTTTATTTCTTTCCCAGAAACTGAAGAACAGGTCGTCATGCCAATAACCTTTGCCCTTTGGGCAAGCCCTCCCTGGCTGTGCTGAATATCAACAGCAGGGGAATCCTGTCCAACTCCTGTTTTACAAAACCTCTAGGTGGAGGGAGCGGAACCGCTTGGCTTTCGGTTTGAAGTCTAGTGGGGAAAATTCTTTACGGGAACATTTATTGTGTTTTGAGGTTTTCTGTGAGTAATTGCTGGTCTGGATTTTGTCCATAGACTCAAATGCTCTGGATGTGTTTTTCGAGGGATCGGAGATAGAATCAGTGGAAAGTTTGTCCCTCTGTGAGGAACTGTTTATGCACACCTCTGCTGTGAATCTTTATGTAGCTGCTCCGGGTGAATGTTTTGTGGTGATTTATTAGAGATTGTCACCTCAGCCAAGATGTCCTGTGGCTGTGTTTAGGGTGATTGTTAGAACAAGTGTAGCAGGACGTGTAGTAATTATGACATGGCCCGAATAACAGCAGTAGTCATTCCTTTGAGGCTAACTTAGCTTTGTGGTGGAGCTGGATCTGTAGGGTATTGTACGTAGTTCTGGCGATGATCGACATTTGGTACAGCTTATATGCTTCGGATGGAATGTGTTTGCTATTATACATCATGCCAAAGTTTGTGGTGCAATTAATTACAAGTGTTTTTAGAACAAAAGGTGGTGAAATAATATACATGTGTTGTTCAGTACCTTGCTAGTCTGTGAAATAATGTCTGGCAGGACAGGTGGACAAAGCGTGGTCATCCTCTGTGTGTGGTGCTGTGTAGTACTGGGTGTTTGTAACATCTTTTATGTCCCAAAGACTCCCCAGAAAAAGCTTTAAATTAGAGAGTTTAATTCTGTACACATTAAATCACTTAGCAGTTTGCGGTGTCCGTTTTCATTTTGGGATGGGACGGGACAGGCTACTGAATTGCCCTAAATAAATTAAGACGGTCCAAAAATATCCCTGAATACAGGAGCGTTAAGTTACCAGTTTGCTGGTTTCGATGTCCATTCGCACCATGCAGGTGGGCCATAACACGTTATGTTGACCTGTCCAACAAAAGAGGCTGCGCTTGCTGTTTTTCCCAGTGACCGGCTGTTCAGTCTACAGCCCTGTGTTGGCTGTAACTCTTCCCCATCTTACTCCACCACAGTGAAACTGCATTGCATATGGTTCTGTTTCCTGGGTTCCACTGAGGTGCCCTTCTGCATTGGCCCCAGCTTCCAACTGCAGTGAGATGCAGAACATTACAAAAGAAGATGCGGATATCGCCAGAATGGACAACAGACCATAACAATTATACAAACCTGTCCCTGATGCAGGTGTGTTTGCACATTCCCTCCCCCCACCCAAACCCAAGGCAAACACATACACAAGCACATTTTGCAGTGCAGTCCAGAGCACTGTTTATTATTTGGTTACACTCCCCAACCCTTCATCCCCAGTTGACCTGCCTCTTGTCTGCGCATTACAGATGTTGCAGTAGAGCTCATTTGAAGAGCAGGGCACGTGTGACTTAGGAAGATCTGTACAAAAGGTTCACCATGTTCCTGGTCACCGCTCCAGGGCAAAGCCGATATCCCACCATCTGAGTCGTGCGTAAAGGAGCAGATGATCTCGTTAATGGCTGAAGTAGAATTCCTCACTTGCGACTGCCCGCCCGTGTGCCAGCGGACTCAGCGGGGAGCTGTGACCCAGGGTTCTGCATACGCGTACATCGGGGTGGGAGCGTGTCTGAGTGCATGCCTGTGTGTTCCTGAGTGACGTGTGAGCCTGAGAGCCTGGCTGCCTCTTTGGCGGTGTCAGTGGAGGCGGCCTGTGCGTTAAATGCGTCCCCACTTTGCCGCAGCACGATGACGATGCTCCATATTTTTAACATGTTCATAATCGGTAAACAATGAGGATTAATCTGAGCTTCTGGTTTGCCTGGTAAACAGCCTAGTTATTGCTTGACTGTACCATTGGTATGTCTGTGTGTATGTGTGTGTTTGAATGTGTGGTCCAGGTATACATTTTGGATAAATTTTGACGTTTTGGGGAAATTCAATTTTGTAAAAATCTGTGACTGCAGTCAAAAAACGAAAAATGCCAAAAGATTTTGTTTGGTTACTTATGGTTAAGTTTAGGGCTCGGTAGGGGTTAAGGTTGTCATTGTTGGGATTAGGATTATGCCCATAGAAATGAATCAGTGGTCCCCACAAAGATATGAGTACAGGTGTGTGTGTGTGTGTGTGTGTGTGTGTGTGTGTGTGTGTGTGTGTATGTCATAAGCACATGTTGTCTGACCCACATTCTCTTCCATGTTTTGTTGAGGTTTTAAGCCACTGACCCTTGTCACCGTTCTTGACGTACAGCAGCTCACTGACACCGTCTCTCCTCATGTGCCTTGCAGCGGCTGTCGTCATCCCTGTCCCTCACTGGGACAGTTTGGTAGCTTCCATTGTGCCAGCACTCATGTTCCTTTAGTGACCTCATTGTTGTTTTTTTCTCCCTTGTGAGCGAGTGACGCTTCGCCTGGCAATATGAGGAGGCTGCTACGAATGCGATGATAGCATAAGATTTTAAATTCTGCCAGCAACACGTCACAGATTTTTCGATCATTGACTGCGATCACCAAGATGGTGATGTGTGCATACTCAGGAAAGGCCTGGGGCAGTGCCACTGGAATCGTCAGCCTTGTCTGATCTGAGTCTATTGAGGTGCATTTTAGAGCTGTTTCGATTTGAGGTTTAATTTGTTTGTGTAGTGGCTGGTGTCATTCTTGCCTGAAAATCAGATTTACACACGTTATTTATAACTAAATGGCTTTGCCTGCAATGAGTATAGCCCATGCACAGCCCCGGTTCACTGCTCCAAAAGGTCTAAAATTCAGTGCACCATGCATTCCTCCTCACACTGGAACCTCTTCCTGCTCTAGCTGAGTTAATGTCTGGTTTAGCATGCAGCTCTGTCATCGAATTACAGTGCTCAGGGCTGTTAGGGTGAATTAGCGTGGGAGCAAACTGCCTCCACCAACCTGTGTGTTTCTCTTTGTGCTGCACTGGGAAGCTGTGGCTGTGGCTCATACAGCTAGGAGCATTTTCAAAAGGCACCTGTGCTTAGCCTTTTGTTGCCGGGTTCAGCATCGCAGTCCCAATGGCAGCGGCCATTTTGATGGTGAGTTTGGATCTTCAGTCTACCTCCCTCCATTTCCTCTTGTGCTGCTGGGTAATCCTTTCCAGGAATATCTCACCCCACCCCCCAATGTGCCTATTGCCCTGCCAGTGCCCTCACTACCCCCTTCCTGTGGGTGACTGGCACATCTAAAGCCATAACAACACAGGCTTTGTCCTGCTAGGGAGTTCCAGTCCATAGACGCCTAAAAGGTGTACTGATAGCTCGGTAAATCAGAGCTCTGTGCATCCCTGCTAATTTGCCCTAATACAATTAAACAGTTCAGCATAGGACTGCTTAGGCTTTGAAGAACAGGTTGCCATGTGGAGAAGCAGTTGTCATAGCCCCTGAGTTGCAGCTCAATAGGAACAGAGTAGACCAGGGGTGCTTAACCTTTCTCACTTTAATAGTTCTCTCTTTTGGTTGGGCAGGGTCTGTTCTGCTCTGCGGACCCCAGGTTGAAAACCCCAAGTGCAGACCTTGCAATGGGGGTGAATAAGCTTTTCAGCAGTAGCATGGAGACTGCCAATTAGGGTCAGCACAAGCCTGCGTTACACAACAGCAGTATTTGTGTATAGAATCCGGTTGTGTTCATGCTTTCTTATGCTCCATATCATTTTCATTAATGGTTTTTAAAAGGCCTGTATTTAAAGCTTTCATTAAACAGGTTTGTTTTTGTGTAACCAGCCTTTTAATGTCCTCCATGGCTGTACTGAGAGATCATGGTGGCTTTTATCAGTCCCAGCCATGTCAGGAAGCCATTCCTTTTCTTTCCACTGTTTGGCACAAGGTTTTTATCTTTTGGGGTCTTTGAGGCGTCCAGGTGCCGTGTGACATTATATTAAAGCCCGGATAGTTTTTCAGTGGTGAGCTTGTCTGCTTTTTACACGTTTAGGAAACCTCCATACACTTATATTTTAACAGGTGCGCTGGAGTAAATGACCTTTATAATCTTTGTGCAAACATGGGTAAAGTTTGCTATGGACAGCAGATCACCATTAAAGTCCTTTCCATTAG